TTTGATCCACATTATTTTTTTCATTCTCATTTTTCTACTCATTTTCAACTATACATTCTTCAATAAAATAATATTTTCCATCACATCAATAACGCTTCTTTCTTTTTCAACCATATATTCTCCATCACATCACTTCAAAAAAATGCATTCTCTCATTTTAATGTGCACCCAACAGGCTCTGTCATACTAAACCAGTCAATTTTTCTTTTCGATATCGAACCTTCTAACATACAATCATATAATAAAATTTAGTAATTCTTCTTTTCGACACTGACGAATTGAACATACATTTATATAATAAAGTTTTGTACCGAACACGTTGAGTATATTCATATCAATATACAATTATATAATAAAGTTTTGGTGATTCTTCTCTTCGATATCGTCCAATCCAACTTACAGTTATATAATAAAGTTTGATAAAATAATTTATAAAAACACGTTTATTTTGAATTAAACTTTATTAAATTAAATGTGAGTGTTGTTCCATTCAATTCATCATGTGCCTTCTTGAATACTTTCTTCTTTCAACATTGTGCAAACCAAAGACCAAAAATGGATTATCAATTAAATGTCCTACAAACATTGAAAGTTATCTTGTCGAAATCAATTAAGAGCATAATAGAAGTTTAGCGAAGATTGGGAAAACTTGACAAGTTTGTACAATATAATTTGGTACTACGTTGACAAGTACTAGATTTTTTGTTTTATTCTATCTCACATAGTACCATAGGGGGAAAAAAAGTGTGAAAATTTATGTTGCAAGAACAATCCCTATCGACCCGACCCATTAATTTATATCTAAAATACATTTGTATATCTAGTAGGCAATAAATATAGCTATAAAAATGAGATGAAGTGTCTCAACTTCATTCTCTTTCAGCTCATTTTGCTTTAATGCTTAGATTAGCACTAGAGATGGCAATGGGGCAGGTTCGGGACGGGGCACCCTCGCCTCACCCCGTCCCGCCCCGCCCCATGACGGGGTGGGTTCGGGGCGCGGGTTTGCCCCGTTTCCTGCCCTGTTTATTTATTTATTTTTTCAAAAACTTTCAATTAACTATTTTTTTATTTTTAATTTGTAGTTAATTATTTTTTTATTTTTCACGAGGCGGGTTCAGGGCGCTTAAGGCGAGGCACCCCCTCCTTGCCCCCGCCAACCCGTCGGGGTGGGTTTTTTTTGCCCATTCGGGGCAAGGAGGCACTGGGACAAGGTGGGGCGAGTTTTTTTGCCATCACTAATTAGAACTACTGTTTCTAGATATTGAATTCTAAAGTACATGATGCAGATAAGAGGTCAATATAAAAGTGCTAAATATATGACTCTAAATTTTTCAAATAAAATTATTGAATTTTTTTTTTCTATTTATTTTGGTTTCTAGCGCCTGTTTGGTGGTAATTTTCATTCACATTGTAATGAAATATTGGATCGTTAGCTATCGTAATTGTTGACTTTCTTCATACTACAATTCAGACATGGGACCCACTAACGATATAAAAATAAAATGTAATTTTGCAAATAGTGGAGCCAAACTAGGACCTAATATATAAAACATCGTTTTTAAACTCGATCGAACATAAATAAGATTAAGTGGCTGAATTACTTGTCGAGCAAGTAAATTTGATCATTAAATGATTATATTAGAATTTTCAAATCTTATTAATCTCCTTGAAATTGCAAAATTTCACTTGGGAGTAGGGATATTATTGATCCCTTTCCAATTATATTTTCGTAATTTAGTCAAATTTTGGTATGAATAAATCAACGTTGTCACGTGCAAATAAGAAAATCTTTTTGTTTCTTACGATGATGGTTGTATGATTGTTTTCTTTTGCTTGAAGCTCAAGCTTTCAACTCTTTGACTTCTTTTAGATATTTATCAATAATAATATGTCCATATATACACATTATTTATGGAAAATATCATTTTCCATTAAATTTGTCCTTGAAATTATATTATTTTAATTACCAAATTTGTTATATACATATTGATAATTAGACTTATAAATGATCGTTTAATTAAGAGTCGAACCATTCAATCTATACGTGAAAATGATTGACTTCTTTAAGACGTCCTTTTAACTTAATCGTGTGTAATGTTCACTTGTTCCAAACATGATTTAATAAGTATATTTTAAATAAAAAGTGAATATATTTTTTACGAACTTGGTTGACAAGCAAAATGACAACTCAAATGATGTGGCGTTGACCATATTATTTTTCACTATGCCACGTGTAAAATCAAAGCATTACAAAAAATGTGGAGAACAATTTGGGAATGTCCAATTCCTCTAATTTTCTGGTAAATCAACTCAAATGTTTATTCGATAATACGTTGAGGAATAGTAAAAATGAAGAAGTAAATATATAAAAATGAAATTTAAAGTAAAGTAAGCGTATTTATAGACAAGTTACTTTACTTTTATCGAACCCATGTTGTGATATTGTAACTCTCATCCTTTTTCTAGATTAAATCATCAAACTCGACTCAAAATTTTTAAAATAATAAAAATAAAATAAAAATCCAACTCCTATATAAATGTGATTCTTCTCATTTGAATATGCATTTATTTTTTTGTTTTTAATTTGTAGTTAATTATTTTTTTATTTTTCACGGGGCAGGTTTGGGGCGCTTAAGGCGGGGCACCCCCTCCTTGCCCTGTCAACCCGTCGGGGCGGGGAGGCACCGGAACAAGGTGGGGCGGGTTTTTTTGCCATCACTAATTAACACTACTATTTCTAGATATTGAATTCTAAAGTACATGATGCAGATAAGAGGTCAATATAAAAGTGCTAAATATATGACACTAAATTTTTCAAATATAATTATTGAACTTTTTTTTCTATTTATTTTGGTATCTAGCGCCTGTTTGGTGGTAATTTTCATTCACATTGTAATGAAATATTGGATCGTTAGCTATCGTAATTGTTGACTTTCTTCATACTACAAGTCAAACATGGGACCCACTAATGATATAAAAATAAAATTTAATTTTGCAAATAATGGAAGCCAAACTGGGGCCTAATATATAAAACATAGTTTTTAAACTTGACCAAACATAAATAAGATTAAGTGGCTGAATTACTTGTCGAACAAGTAAATTTGATAATTAAATGATTATATTAGAATTTTCAAATCTTATTAATCTCCTTGAAATTGCAAAATTTCACTTGGGAGTAGGGATATTATTGATCCCTTTCCAATTATATTTTCGTAATTTAGTTAAATTTTGGTATGAATAAATCAACGTTGTCACGTGCAAATAAGAAAATTTTTTTGTTTCTTACGATGATGGTTGTATGATTGTTTTCTTTTGCTTGAAGCTCAAGCTTTCAACTCTTTGACTTCTTTTAGATATTTATCAATAATAATATGTCCATATATATAAATTATTTATGGAAAATATCATTTTCCATTAAATTTGTCCTTGAAATTATAATATTTTAATTACTAAATATGTTATATTCATATTGATAATTAGACTTATAAATGATCGTTTAATTAAGAGTCGAACCATTCAATCTATACGTGAAAATGATTGACTTTTTTAAGACGTCCTTTTAACTTAATCGTGTGCAATGTTCACTTGTTCCAAACATGATTTAATAAGTATATTTTAAATAAAAAGTGAATATATTTTTTACGAACTTGGTTGACAAGCAAAATGACTACTCAAATGATGTGGCGTTGACCATATTATTTTCCACTATGCCACGTGTAAAATCAAAGCATTACAAAAAATGTGGTGAACAATTTGGGAATGTCCAATTCCTCTAATTTTCTGGTAAATCAACTCAAATGTTTATTCGATAATACGTTGAGGAATAGTAAAAAGGAAGAAGTAAATATATAAAAATGAAATTTAAAGTAGAAGTAAAGTAAGCGTATTTATAGACAAGTTACTTTACTTTTATCGAACCTATGTTGTGATATTGTAACTCTCATCCTTTTTCTAGATTAAATCATCAAACTCGACTCAAAATTTTTAAAATAATAAAAATAAAATAAATATCCAACTCCTATATAAATGTGATTCACACTAAGAAGAGTAAACTTATACGTATCACTCCCACCCAACCCCACCCCATGCCCCTCTCCTTTCTCTCCAAGAACATTTAGGTATATTTATTCATAAGTGGTAAAAGCTGTGATGTTAATTCTATCAATATCAGTTACTTTCTTTGAAGAAAAGACTTTTTCTCTCCCATTTTTACGGTAACTCTCAATCAAATTTTTACTCCAGTTATTAACTGCTTTGAATTGAATATTTTATTTTTTTTCTCTTTCTTCTCCAGTCCAACTATTCTTGATGTAAAAATGACGGAAAAATCTTTCAAGAAAATGAATCCCACAATCAAAAAAACTATTACTACCAAGTTAGTAGAATCGCCGTCAGTGATGAACAAATTGAGCTCACGTGTGGTGCGGATTTCTGTGATGGATTGTGATGCAACTGATTCATCGAGTGATGAAAAGGAGGGATTGGATATGAATACGAATATTCAGAGAGTGAAAAAGCATGTGAATGAGATTAGAATGGAGAGGAAATGTGTTCAGGCAAAGAAAAGTGTTAATGGGAGGAGTAATAGTGTGAAGAAAAAAAGGCCGCCACCGTCGCCAGCACCGGTGACAGGAGGTCAGGGAAATGGGAAGAAATTCCGGGGAGTTAGGCAGCGGCCGTGGGGGAAATGGGCGGCAGAGATACGTGATCCAGCACGGAAGACTCGTGTTTGGCTGGGGACTTATGACACGGCAGAGGAAGCGGCAATGGTTTACGACAGGGCGGCGATTCAAATACGCGGTCCAGATGCTATGACTAACTTTATCAAGCCACCGGAGAGGGTGGTGGTGCTGGCGATGGAGGCTAATGTGACGTCAGTTTCGGGTTATGATTCTTGCAAGGATGAGTCTTGCGAGAACCTTTGCTCGCCCACCTCGGTTTTAAATAGTAATGGTGGCACTGTCCGGTCCGAGTTCAAAAACACTAACGAGGGACAAAAGATTTCTAATGAAGTTAGGGAGCCGGTTGGACCGACCACAGTGGTGCAGAATGAAGTCGATTGTTTAATGGACGATTCTTTGCCATTGGATCAATGTTTCTTGACTGAATATTTCGATTTTCAGTCTCCTTCGCCATTAATTTTCGAAGAAATTAATGTTGCTAAGACAGAATTGGATGAGGATTCAAATGATGTTTCAATTGATTTTGATGATGATTTTATGTCTCTTACATGGGATGTGAATGATTTCTTTGAAGATCAATTTTTTGGTGAATTAGAGAATTAATTTCTTGCTGCTTTTACTCATAAGTGGAAGTTTAGATACCTAATTTTGCAAAGAGGGGTCACATCCTTGTTTTGGTATCATCTTAACTATGTATATTGCTATTGCAGCAAGTCTATGGAAATTTATATAAATATTTATTATTTGGACTTCTTGTTTTCCTTGCAATTTGTACCCTTTTTCTATTTGTTGTATAGAAAGTTAGTTGTATTGATGGAACTACCAATGTTGACAATACATATCGAAAAACTATGCAACTTCTAATAAAGTTTCACTACAAGAAGTGTGATGGTATAATTTGGTGCACTCATAGTGCGACTCTTGTTGGGGGCATAAAGAATGTGCACTTGAAAGTGTCAGTTCAATCAACGTTACACCTCCAAGTACGATACATAAAGCATCGATTTGGCACCAGGAACGGACATTTGAAAGTATCGGTTACACCCCTAAGTAATATGTCTCATATCCTTTGTCTATTTCCGTCAGGCTGTGCCTTTTGCTTCCCCACGGATAGCCTAAAAGGTACAATACACCAAAAACTTGCAAGACACAAACTATCAAAAATTGAATCGTATCACATATTTGATATTTTATATGGCCGTGGTCTTAACCATATATTTCATGTTTGGTAAAAGTCACTATTATTTAATAAAACAAAATTTAAAAGTTATGTTTGGTAAACGTCACTACATATTTATTTGAGTGAATAATAATTAGTATTTCCTATATATCTTATTTTCATAAATATTATAAAATTTATCAATATCAATATTAATTAAAATATCACGGCCTATTATTTGATTTCAATTTTATGTATTCTAATCATACACACCCTTGTTTGGGCTCCATTTTAATGTATTTTTGGAGAAAATATATTTTGGAATAATGAAATTTTTTTTAAGAATGTGGTTAAAAAATAAGAAAAAAATTTGAATTTACGTGTAATATTATTTTATTGGTGAATGTGTAGTTAAAAAGAGGAAAGAAAATGCATATTAGATAATATGGAGGCTAAACATAGTTATTTCTACATTTAACATATGAATAGAGGATCTTAGAATTCTACTCCGATGAAGCGGTCACGAAGGTAACACGCATCAGTGTAGGTAACAACTGGTGCCACTAGCTTCACGATATGCCTCGACCACCTCTATGAAGTGGACTCGTCTTACTTGATTGAGGTCGATCAATGGAGTAGCCCAAAAATATAATCGCGTCACTTTTTCGAGTCGATCGAATCAGGTTATCCTTAGAGGAATGGATCCCATTATCATCTAATCATAAATAAGATAATATTACAAAAGTTGTTTCAATTTGTCTACTTTAACAATAAAGCAAAACGACATTTATTTTCTCTTATTTCTCATAATAATATTTTCTAAAAAAAGATTCAGAATTAATTTGTTTCCTTAATTTAGACCATATAATTTATTTACTAGCTATACATATACAAATTTCATTATCATCATCCTCAATCATCAATATTTTGTCACAAGTCTAAAATAGATTAAGTCAAAGAATAATTTGGTGAGTGAAGGACAGAATAAAGAATAAGAGACTCGAGCAAAGGCTACAAATATCGCGAATTAATCGAAAGTGATGTAGATGATCATCGAGCAATATATACAATAAATTAAATTTTATTTCGAATCAAGTTAACCTTAACTATAATAACGTTTTTTCTATTCAAAAAGGGTCATTGCCACATCTATTTATTTATTTTTTATTATTTTTTTAATCCATCCTAAATCAGTGGTATCGTCATTTTTCGATTGCTTATCTCGGCTTTTATATTTTTATTAAACATTCAAACAAACACCTGACAGACAAAGTAATTAATGTGATTGATACACATGCCAGTTTAGGAAATGATGCTTTTATTCATCATCCTTAACCGGTTTCAAGAAAAGCAAAAAGCAAAAAAAAAAAAAAGAATAAAACCATCAAGAGTAGAAAACATTTTGATTTGTTTAGAAAATTTATATATGAATCTTGGAAATTCCTTTAAAATATACATAATACATGTGTATTTCGTCTCTTCGATGTATTTTTGGAAACTTGCTTCATGTACAGAAGCAAAAACCACAGAAATTGAACAGAACACACGGAGTATGTGGGTTCCGCAATTTTTATTTTTTTTAAATACACGGTGGGGGCCATCATTGTGAGTATTCTGTTGAATTTCTGTACAAACGGAATTCTCCATTTTTTTGGTCCCCTAAGAAATAATCCGGAAATACAAACAAGTAGGACCAATGAGGTCCATTTTCTCCAACTAGCAGCAAGAAAATTATGCAATGAAATCTATGGAAAATCAGCTTCTCATTGAAGTGGGGGTCTAATATATAATAATAATAATGTATTCTCAAGTCCTTTCTTGTAAAAAGGAAAAATGAAATTTGGCTTATTAACAAGACTGAGATTTAGGATGAGAACATAAGAAGCTTAGATGGTTAGAGAATCGACGAATTTATTTGTTGAAGTCTTGAACACGTATATTCATGCATAGACCGAATTCATTTTGTATCAAATGTTCAATAGACATACTATCTCATAAATATATAGCGATAAATTTAGAAAGGCTGTCTGTTCTGAAATCATGTTATCTAAACTCGTTTAAAAGTTTAAACAATGAGAGAGGAGATAAGTTTTTTATTCAACATATTCCATATTAACACAAGTTGTAATTTAACATTTACTCGTCTCCAGCACGGCTCCTTACATGCAGATTGGATTCTTTTTTCATACAAGGATTGACACACGCATAATGTTTACAAACAAGAAGCTTCAAAACTAATAATCTTTACATTCTCTAATACCATGTGAAAGTGAAACTATATCGTCTAGTTAAAGCTCGAAGTATTAAATAATAGATAAAATTTAATCTTGCTTAGAGTTTCTTATTGTCCTCATAATAATTATTATGCTTGTACCTTTGCCTTTAGAATTTGTGTGCTAGAGCAAACAATATGATTGCCTTTTGTACAACATTTTTGTCAATTTCCGACAAAGTCTAACATAACATGGCCCAACTCAATCGTTTTGGCCACTCCAGCCTAAGGCATTCACAAAGTATGGGCCGCAAAGCTTTCTGATCATTAGCCTTTAGCCATCAGACCAAACCAAAAAAGTACCAATAATCATGAAAATGATGGGCCAAGTTGTTATGTGAGCCATCAACTATCAAAATTGATTACAAAATGGTTCTTGGACTTTGCTATTTGTACACTGAGTTTTTACACTCCGGATGACACTTGCATTATTGTCAAGTGTCAATTTGAAATTTAAATTGTCTAATTGAATAATGTCACATGTCAAAGTGTAATCCAAAATGTACACTAAAATGTACATGTAGCAAGGTTCTTCTTGGTTCTTCTATAGAGACTGACAATGTTATTAATTGAAATTTAAAACTTGAATTAAAAAGATGTGTGTTTTTTGTTTTTTAATATCACGTTGAAATACCTCACTGAAAAATGAAATTATTCTAGAAAGATATATTGTTTATACTTATCTTTTCATACATTATTGGTTATTGATGGAAATTAATGAATTCAATGTGATGTGTGGTCGAACATAAAAATATATATAAATAAATTACCCTTCTTAACTTTTAGATGGAGTGTTTAACAACTCTACCCGAAGAGCTATACATTTCAGCGTTTTCAGTTACGTGACAAGTAAAAAACTCCTAAAAATTATTAAAAGATGAAAGTTCATTTACCTCGTAATAGATGGCTCTTAGTGGATGAAAAGTAAAAAAATAAATAATTTTTCATACTCTATGGTCACTTCCTTATGTCTCACAATATGATCTACTGATAACAAAAGGGACCATGGGCCATGAACAACTAAGATTGTGTACCCTTATAAGCTCCAAACAAAACTTGACTTTAAAGCAATTACACATGGAAATAAATAAAGACAAAATAATTATAAGTGGTAGCATAAAATCATAAACTATAGGCCATAAAAGGAGAGGATCCCTACCTTACATTTCAAATGGTCTCAAAGATAATAATAATAATTTAAAAAAAAACAAAAAAAAGGCTGAAAAATGTTGAAAAAGATGCAAATGGTGGAGACTTGTTTCCCAATTTTCACTTGTGCTTGAAAATATGAGATGAGACTTGTTTCCACGAGGACCCAATACAAAAATATTAATGGAGATGCTAGAGGTACATCACCTCTTACATCGACGTGTCCATCGGCGCCTCCTCATTGGAGGGATGGTCGGTGGGGTCGGCACTCCCTCCAATGAGGAGGTGCAGGGTGTCCATTATGGACACCCTTGTGTAAGTGGTGATGTACCACTAGAATAATCCAAATATTAAAGATTTGGACGACTTTGGTTTTGAAGACTAAATTGTTTGTTTTGAAGGTTGTAGGTAGAGCTCGGCAAAGGGTTCAAGAATAAAGAAAAGAGTTCCAAACCTTTATGCATGCACCTCCGTACAAGTTCTTTGCTATTGAAACAATAGTTTAGGGACTAATAATGAAATTTCTTCCCCTATGTATATCTAGGTGTATGCATAATGATTATGTGCCTTACTTTTCTCTGATGGAGCTGAAAAACAGCTTGAAAATTTTGATTGAGACGACATGGGATTTGCATGTTAGGATAAATGAGAAAATCAATAGTATTAATGGCTTCAAATTTTGCAGACATTGCTCAGATGTTCATGGCCATTACTGTGTGATTGCAGATGACACAGTGGAAGACGGGGAGAAAATGATTGCCATCAGGGATTCACTTCAAGATCTTTACAACATTCTTATTTACTTGCAGGTATTACATAAAGAATTAATCTGGATCTATATTCCTAAATGACATTATTGTTGATATTGTGCGAGTTGTCAAAATCTATGTCATTGATTGTTTAAAATGTCATTAAAATCAATATATAAAAAACTGTCAACTCACAAAAAAGTCATCCATGATGTCAAAAGTAATGTACATATAGCAAGATTGTTACATAAAATACTGTACTCAGACTCAACTAGACGGGACAATACTAAAGAGGAATTTCATTTATTTCTCTTTGTGAGTCTTGCTCTGCGTTATCTAGTCTAACATATCAAATGTCATTTTAGACACTATCTTTCTTGATTATTGGTACAATTTCGACATCAATAAAATCGTAATTTCAATTCGTAGTGTTGCATGATTTACAATATTTTTGAAATTTAACTACTCATTTGAACTTTACACTTATTTAATTGCTTGTTAGAGCTTTTTCAACTCCAATGTCACATTGAGGCTAGGTTTCATCACAAAGAAATAAGATTTTACCCTTAAGTCAACCCTTAATCGATAATCGTTCAAACTATGCAACACTTCAAGGAACAAGTCATGAAATTTGTCATCCAACAGTTTTTCGAATTTAGTAACCAATGGCTTCAAACTCTCAAAAAGAGCAAGATAATGTGTATCCATTCTTATTCTATGTTGGAGCTGTGAGCTCGACCCTTAGTCAAGCACGGTTCAAGCCACACAATGTATCAATTAGGTTGTCACATCTTCGAGGGAACAAACCACGAAGTTTCTACAGCACTAGTTTCTTCAATTATCGGAAAACAAAAGACTTGGATTTATTAAAAGACGGCGAGACAATTGATATACCCATATTTTGGCCTAATTATTCACGTGTCTACTTTACAATTTCATATTGTTTTCTCGTTATCTAACTATAATATCACTTTATCTCAGGCATTTTTTGTCTTTGATGAAATGTAATGCAGCGAATGGAGTCTTGCCAAAAGACACATAGAGATGCAGCTCTAGCCAGTTTGGAAGAAAGTAGACAGCTTCTGATTGAAAGAGTAAATCTATGCAAGAAAAAAGCTAGTTATAAACTTGATGTTCTTGAAGAACTAACAGCATTTTTTGGCAATGGAAAAACTGAATTCACTTGGAATTTCAAAGAGAAAAAGATTGAACAACACAAGATTATGAAGAAGGTTTCCAGTTTTCTTGTTAATACTACAAGAATTGGCATAGAATTGGTTGTGGTATTTGCTTGTATTTCCTCGTCAGTTAAATTTTACAAGAAAAGGCAACAAATTTATGAGTCCAGAAGAAAAATTGTTGCACCTGTGGATCCAAGAGAATTCCATTTGGATGTATCATATGGGAAGGGGTGATTTTTATATACCTTACATAATCGATCACGTGAGGGCATGTTCACTACATAGATTTATAGTACATTGTATAAAACAATTGACTATATTTGATGTAGACCAGATGGACGAATGGATTGAAGTAGAATTTGATCGAAAAAAGACAGTAGTACTGGTGTAGTAGTCAAGTTACGATTTGGGCCCTTAATACCATTTCGAAAAGAGAACGACGAGACGAGTAGAAATTACCGCTTCGCCATGACATTCCATTGATTTTGGCCATCCGACTCAAAAACTACTTTTAAAATTTTAGTGTTATTTTTGTCATTTATTTTATTTCAAATTCTTGGCAATTTTAGTTTGTTTAAACTAGGCTTTCATAAAAACTTTTATAAATAAAGGTTTAATTCATCGTTTTTTATCATCTTACATTAATAAAAGTTTGTGAGTTTATTTTTTTAATTTGGTGGATTCCAAAATTGTCTTAGATCCTGTTTGATTGAGGTGGTTTTCCATGAAAAATGGAAAAGAAATTCAATTTCCACTCAAATTACATGTTTGATTGACCAACAATTCTTGGCAATTGAATTTTCACATTTTGGCCTATACGTGTACAATTCTTGATTTTTGAGGAATTCATTTTCCCATGGTTTTGGTGGGAAATTGTTTTTCAGTTTTTTTTTGGGCAATGGAAACAAATTCTATCCCTAATTGTAAAAATTTTTTCCCTTTAATGGACAATTTTCATGGAAAACAAAGTCAAACAAATACCAAAAGATCCAATATTTCAACATTTTTCAGGTGAAAAATTATACTAATCAAACACAATTAATTGACAATTCTTAATAAAGTAAATTCTAGACAATTTAATTATTTGGAATTCATTTTCTTTCCACCAAAATTCCATCTTTACAATTAAACGGACCCTTAGAGCATGTCTGGGCCAGCTTTTTAGCAGATTTTAAGCCAAAAAGGACCCTTTTTTTCACATAAGAGTCCCACATGTGAGACAAAGAGTCAACAATCAGGGGCGGACCCAGCCAATTTATCTTGTGGGGTCAAATCCAAACACGTTGGTAAATGCATACCTTGTTGATGGAGTGGAGAGGTCTCGTGAGGGCCGTGACTCCCGTCCCATAGCCCAGTAGCTGTAGCAATTAGTGGGGAAGATCGGAAGAGAAAAACTAGCAAAGAGAGGAGAAGAGGAAGACTGGAGACACGAGTGTCGAGAATAACGGTGTTAAAATAGATGTACACTATAATGTTGGTGGGGCATTTCACCGAACATCTTACGGGAGTAGAAAATCGCCAATAAATCAAATACATTAGGAACTTGATTGAACCAAAACTTTTTCATCCTAATTCTACCAATAACACCCATCAAATCTTAATCCCAACCTCCCCAATCAAAGTTAAATCCAAAAGTCTAGAAGAAGAGATCAAAATAGGAGGAAAAAAATTGAATTTTGCGAAGAAATCTTACCTTTATTGTGTTTTGGATTTGAAGTTTATGTTATAAGTGTGAACTTTCATCCTTTGATGTGTCTTAGGTGGTTGGGATGATTGGGTATGGGATTTCAAATTGACTTTGGGTGTTAGAAGTTGGGAGAATTGAGAGAAAAATCGTGAATTTAGTAATTTGACTATAAGGGGGAAATGGGGAAAGTTAGGGGTTTAAACCTCTCATCACAGAACACTTTGCATGATTTACCCATCGACTTTGTGGAGAAGAGGAAGACTGGAAAAGAGTTGGAAAAATGGAGAAGACTGAACTGAAGAGAGACGAATTCACCTTGGAATTGGGGGAATATTGGTCAAGGTATTAGTTGGGTTGGGTACATAAATGGATTATGGATTAATGGGTGCAATTGGATTTGAGCTTGTGAGTTGTGGACTGGGCTCTGGGCTGCTCTTGGGTAATTGCTTAACTGGGTCTGGGTATCAGCTATAAAAAAAAAAAAGAAATTGTGGGGTCATTTGACCCCACATGACCCCATGTGGGTCCGTCCCTGTCAACAATGGCTGCTATATTTTGTTTCCAACAGTTGAAAAAGCAATTTTTTTGGCCAAGATTGTGCTCCCAAATACACCCTTAATGTTTTCATTTGAATTTCTTATTTTGTACTGCGTGAATGTTTAATTTTCTTCTTCTTTTCTTTGCTCCTTAATCTTGTCATGTTCTGACTATTCGAGCTTATGAAACACCGACTCGACCCATTTGCCACCCCTAAAGACTGGTTAATAATGCTAAATCCTAATCCTTGCATTTTTCGAAATTTATATTGATAAAACAGAAAACTATCTGGGACTATACTTGCGATGAATGGCATATATAATAATTTTTACCCTAATCTTTTAGATAACTCCAATGCTAACACGTTAGAAGCTTCACGCTAATCCCTTTAAATGGTCAGCATTTGCTCAGAGTAATCATCTTCCCCAAAGAGATTAGTTCTCCAAAGCTAGGATTTCTTTGTCTCGATTAGTCGATTTCCAGCTGCCCACGACCACATACTGATGAAAAAACTCGGTCGTTAACTTTTGAAATAACCTTAAAGCTTTGTCCCCTGGACAGACTTAATATTTAATGAGCTTGCACACTCGCAGTTAAGTCCAAGTAACACAGAGTGCCAATTTTATTATATTCAAGGATATGGGCTTATTGGGCATTATTTAGGTGGTTCTCTTTTAACACCTTTGGGCCAAATTGCTTGACCCGATTTTGTACCTATATCACGTGGGTTAGCTTCCTTGAGACTCAACCCATTTTCTTCTGCCTTCTTCGAGTTTTGCTCCCGTTCTCTCTACCTCTAGGGTTTTGAGGCTGTCTTCATCCCATTTTCTTTGGCCCTTTGAAATCGACTTTCTAGCCCATTAATTGAGGAAACACCTATGTATTCTTAGGCTTGAAATAGTGGTAAGGGTTGGGTTTCTCTAGGGTTGGTGTTTAGGTCTGACTTGGGCGTGATTCTTGGCTGTTCTTGGTAGACCTTCGGTCGATGATCCAAGCCAAGGTTGAAGGAAGTTTGGTTGGTTCTTGATCTCTCTCTGGACGGCGATTGCAAGGCGTGGAAGGGACTGTTCTTGAGCTCACCTGGTTCGGCCGAAAAGAAGAGAAGAACAACCGGTGAAAGGGAAGGAGGAGGACTGCTTTTCTGGACGGTAAAAGGGAAATGAAACTTCAGCCTTTTATGCTTTTGTTCTGTCCAGTATATGTTCTGTGCTTAAGCTTTAATTTCGGTTTATGGTTGATAGTATCATGCTGATTATGTAATCTGTTAATGCCATTGGTATATGTTGATTACATATTGTTTAATGCTGATTTTATGAACCTGATGAATTTCTGAGATTACGTTTGAACTCTGTCATTGAGTGAGGTTCTGGGATTGATATTGAACTGTCATTGGTTTATGAGCTTTAGAACTATATTATGTTTGTATTGATTCCGCATACAGGCTGTTTATTCCCAACATGTACCAAGATGTATCATAGACATTGACCATTAACCCACAAAATACTTGGTGAAAGACTAAAATGTATAAATTAAGCCTATTACAGTTTTTAATTTTTATCTCGAACTAGTCTTTTCTCCACTTGATAAATAAAAGGTTCCCATATACCTACAGTTTGATTTCTAAGCTTAGGAATGTCAGGAGGATATTACCTTAAAATATATAATGTTTGACGTGTCCACGGTTCACTTTTTATATTAAATTAAACAAGATATAATATCCTTAATAGGCACGAAGATTTTGTTTCTTTGAATTATATATCATCTCTTTTTCTTAATTTTTTATGGCTTTATGTTCATTAATCACAATTTCCCTTTCAACTCAAGGATCATATATGTACCTCTAATCGAACTTGACTATTTAAGGGTCGATAGTAAATAATAATTAATCACATATTCGATGAATTGAATTAAACAACATTAGCAGTCAATATTAATGAAAAAAAAAAAGTTCAAAATTTTGTATTCCGACTATTATCTAGTAGTGTGTATCAAGACATACGTGGCCATCTATGGACAAATTTCGTGGTCGTTGATTATTACTAGGTAAAGTGAAAGTTTAACACGTTAAAGAAAACAGATGTGTGAGTGACTTCTTCTATTATTAAACTATTTTTTGAATTCGAACTAGAAAAATATTGGGAAATTCTTATTATTTTTTCAATGTAACTTTTTTTTCATGTAAAAGGAACATTTCAAGCCGTGGCCACCTTAAACAGGGAGTCATGTAGGTCAATGCAATTGTATGACCATACAAATATGCACAAGGCTAATGGGTATCCATACCGTGTACGAAATTGCATTCATTAATTTACTTACTTGTTACCTTACCTAGACCATTCTTTAATGATTTTTGTAATACGTTAACGACCTTCCAAATTATTTATCAAATTAAATAATTATCACTATCTTGCACTATGCATATAACAAGTTAATTGTTCGATGATGACGGAAAGACTCTTGACAAATTTGTCGTACAATCTATTATATCTAGCTCAACCTGCCAAATATGTCTTATACTAATTTGATTATGACCATATAAATTCACTACGATGTAAAAGATAACATGCTGTTAAACCTGAATTGCAGTAAATTACTAGCATTGACATTTGACACAAATTTTATGTAACTGCCGACGGAGAATTCAAACCGTCCTAAATATTGTATCAAACGTCAAATACTATGAGAAATTGTCACGACTTTGTGCCAAACCTTGGAGGTGTACTCACATCATGTCCTAACTACTTCTATCCTCAGCAATAAACCATTCCCTTTTGACATTTTCTCAATACTTTGTCTTCTACACCAAAATATTCCATTTTTATACCATATATTCTCTATCTCGATCTGGTATTCACAAGATTTTCTCTTCGTTTCCTCAGCCAAAAGACAGACATCAATTTTCGCGGTCGATGAGTGTAAAGAACATTTTTGCTCTAGTAACGGCGTCCCTGCTGTTCACAGTTGGCGTCGCCTGCTCTAATGGATTATGCAAGGTATATTTTTTCGTCGTGGTCGATTGGTGTTATTTTTTTTATGGGTTTCTTGAATTTATTTGAATGCAGATCGGCGATGAATGTTCAACTAATGGAGATTGTGAAGCCGGGCTCTATTGTTTTTCGTGTACAGCTTCATTTTCAGGCTCTAGATGTGTTAGATCAACTGCTACAAACCAATTCCAGTTACTGGTAAGTAAGAATTTTTGAACTCGAGCGTATAGTGTGTGTTTTGGTCTAATAAATAAGGTCCATTCACTTTGTAAAAATATCTGGTGGGGACAGAATAATTCTCTACCATTCAACAAGTACGCATTTTTGACGACGCATAATGCTTTTGCAATCGATGATGGAGTTCCGAGACTTACCTTCACTAATCAAGAAGACAATATCACTCAACAGCTAAACGTACGTCAATATTTTCAACCTCGTTTTCTAGTTTATGAGTTTTGTTAATGAAGTAGCAACACATTTTTGGATTGTAGAATGGAGTCCGTGGACTAATGCTTGATACATATGATTTTAAAGGAGACGTATGGTTGTGTCATTCTTCTGGAGGCGAATGCCACGATTATACAGCATTTGTAAGTATAAATATAACGTGATCTTAATAAAATGTTTTATGACTCATTTGGCAGAACTTCTACTTCTTGTAGAAGAGTTTCTTAAGAAAGCTGACTTCTCTAAAAACACTTTTAGTCATAAACAACTCTTGACTTTTCAAAAGTCTTATCATACGGACCCTTAGAATACATTTCAATGTAACGTGGACTGGTATGGTACGTAGGAACCAGCTATAGACACTTTGAGGGAAATCGGAGCATTTTTGTCTGCAAATCCATCAGAAATTGTAACACTGATTTTGGAAGACTATGTCAAGGCACCAAATGGATTGACAAAGGTGTTCACAGATTCAGGATTAATGAAGTACTGGTTCCCACTGTCCAAAATGCCTAAAAATGGTCAAGATTGGCCATTGGTTAGTGACATGGTTGCTAATAACCAAAGGCTACTCGTATTTACTTCCATTCAATCTAAGGAAGCCAGTGAAGGAATTGCCTATCAGTGGAATTACATGGTTGAAAATCAATGTAAGTTCCTACTTGTTCTTATATTGTGCTTGATTTTACGGTTCGATAAGAATGTCAAAATAATCCGGCTACTTGAGATGCTATAGACATAGTTTCGGCCCGATATGAGTGGCCCTACGCCTCTACAACCGGTACAGTCCAATTGTAGAGGCTCACGGTCCACGTGAGGCTTATATTCAAGAAGAAAAAAGAGTGAATTCATCCAAAAAATGTATGGTCTCGTATAGGAGAAAAATTTTAGAACTCTCCGAATATAGAACTAAGTAATCTCTGTCACTATTTAATTGACATGTGTATGAGTTTCAATTATTTAATACACGTGTCAATTAAAACAGTAGTAAAGAGTATTGAATACTCCATACTCCGTGAGTAGGATAGATAGATCAAGGCATGCTAAGTCTAGAAACAAAGTCGTCCGAAAGCTAGCAATGTCGGTACACAATTCCAAGTCTGGTGTCTCGACTTGGCTGTCTCACTGCTAAAATTTTGACTTCTCAATGTCTAAAATTGTAATGAGGTATCAAAAATCCAGCGATGACAAGCGTTATATTTACTAGCTTAATTGCATATGATGTTATTTAAATTTAACACTTAATTTTATTTCGCGTATCTAATTAAAATTAGATGGAGATGGTGGAATGAAGGCAGGAAGTTGCTTTAATCGTGCGGAATCATCAGTTCTCAATGATACAAGTAAATCATTAGTTTTGGTTAACTACTTTAGAAGTGTTCCCATAAAGCTATTAGCATGTGTACAAAACTCCGGAGACCTCATTAAAATGCTACAAACCTGTCACGATGTTGCTGCTAATCGTTGGGCTAATTTCATGGCCGCCGATTTTTACAAGGTATCCCGTCTCTTCCACCTTTTAAATCAGATTGTACAATATTTGACGTCTTAGTACAATTAAGAGTCCATTTGCATTCGTATCTACTTCTTATAGAAGAGCTTTATGTGTCAACTTTCTCTAAAAAAAATTCTAATCAGAAGTAGATTTGACTTTTCAAAAGTCTTATCAAACTAACCCTAAAGAAGTACTAAATATTAAGGGACTGTTCTCTTTGTATTTTGAATTCATTTTGGGTTTTGTGTGTTTGAGTGTCCATTTTGATATTGTTGAAAATGTGTTCTTTTTGGCATTTTGAAAACTTCCAAAACGCGTTTTGAAAATTTTGACTTGATTATAACTGAAAATACTCAAAACGACATAATTGTCGTTTTGGGTTTTCTTTGTAAATTTTTAACTTGTTTTCAAAAAGAGTTTTCAAAAATGGGAAAGAGAACCTGTTTTCACTATTTTGAAAAATCGAAAACAGAAAACGGTTTGAAAATGATAAAGAGAACAGAACCTAAAAATTCCCTCAAAAATTATGATATTTGTGGAACGGCAACTATCTCGTACGGGACTGAACACAAAATAAAATGGTTTTAAT